GTTATAGACGGTGTTTATGTTTTCACTTTACTCAGGTTATAGACGGTGTTTATGTTTTCATTTTACTCAGGTTATAGACGGTGTTTATGTTTTCATTTTACTCAGGTTATAGACGGTGTTTATGTTGTCACTTTAACCGAGTCCCTTTGTGATTTGACTCAACAGTTCCGGGTAAAGCTCACCAAGCTAACCGACCCGAGCAGGACGCTAACGTGGCTAACTAACGTGGCTAACTGACGTGTTGTCACCGAGCTCGGCTGCTCTCTGTCGGACACGGAGTGATGAGCTACCCGGTGAACCTCCAGACTCTGCCGGCTGCGGTGTTTGAAGACGTGTTTACCCCGGAGAATGTGAGAGGAAGGTGGGTCTGGTTTCTTCTGCTGACCGGCACAGTGAGTGTGGTTCATTGAAAACATGGAGAGTTGTACATACACCCGGTGTCAGATTATTCCACCAGTAAATCCTCCGCCATGTTGTTAGTGGTGTTCAATGTGTAGACGCTGCTGTTGTGGACAGAATAATGTGAACACCATGATCACCTGAGATCAGACTGTTGATTTAAGAGACACTCAAGTGGAACAGGAGATGAAGAGGAAATAATGTTCGGTTGTGAGAACGCTTCACAGAGACTGAAGCCAGAGAGAAGAGACCATCTCACAATGGCCATAATAAAATATGTACAGACCATTTACTGAAGTTATGACCTCGTCTTCAACAGAAACTCCACAAACCCTCTGATGCTGCTGAGTTTCCCCAAATCCCGATCATCTCTGTGGGACGGCCCCGCAGGAGACATGCTCCGCCTCCAGCTGTGCTCTCATAGGTAACCATCAGACCATCAGACCCTCAGACCATCAGACCCTCAGACTATCAGACCATCAGACCATCAGACCTTCAGACCTTCAGACCATCAGACCTTCAGACCTTCAGACCATCAGACCCTCAGACCCTCAGACCCTCAGACCCCTCAGACCCCTCAGACCCCAAAGACCATCAGACCCTCAGACCCCTCAGACC